AAAAAAAAAATGAAGGATTGGACTTGATGATCTCAGAGGTACTTTCCAACCTGGCTGATTCTCTGATCATTGTGGTGTAAGTAGTTTCTCATGGGGATCATTTAGGAATCAGTCTGTAGAGTTTCAAAGTCTCACAGTAAATGCAATCAGTGCAGCTGGGAAATTCTGTGCAAATGCTATTCTATGGAAAATATCTATTGGAAAACTCTAGAAAACTTTGTGGGATATCTGTTTAGGCCACTGAAAAGGTGTTATTAGCCAATAATTTCTTTATTTATCTGGTGAGAAATGAACAACTAAATGAAAATTGTCATATTAAAGTTCCAGTGGGTAACTTAGTAGGTCTGGCTTGTACCCAGAACTATCTGGCCCTGCTTGGACTTTTTGGCAGGACTGGGCAGCACAAGATGATCCAAATGTTCTGAGCACTGCAAATTTGAAGGAAAAATAGCTTTTCCTAACCAACTAGTTGCTGATCCTTGAGGGTTCTCCCAGCGACCCTGAACAGTTTGCAGGTCACCAGTACTGTGTGGGCTGGCAAATGCATTTAATGTAGTAAGCAAATCCAGTAAGAAAAGTAGAATTATTTATTGTGGTCACCGTTTAACAACAACAGCAAATATGAGCTAGGAGCTAAATTGCATAGTGACTGATAAAATATTCCAGGGATTTTCAGTACTTTCAAGTGTGCAAAATAAAAGAATTTTCTTAACCATGTAGCTAAGATTTCCAGCTAATAATAGTACCATGATTTGATATGAAAATTGCATTGCAATCCAGCTTTCCTGATGCTTGCTCTGCTGGGAGTTCCCTTTCATCTGCCCAGCTCGGAGTGGTGCCCTGCCACGTGGCTCCAGCACAGCTTCTGTGGTTGGCCCTTTCTCATTTGGGGTAAAACCTCTGAGTAAAATCTTGCAAGAAGACGTGCAATTACTAGCCATGTTCTGCCAGATTATTTTTAGATTGCTCTTTGTAGCTGTATTTGTTCTTTGTGTAGTCATTAAATCTTTCCCTAGCTCATGCTGCCATTGCTGTTTACCTCAGTGCTGCCAAAACCTTCTGGCACACTGATTAGGTAGTGTGAATCCAGAAACTGCAGTCCTTGAAATAAAGGTGTTCCAGGAGAGCAACTCTGAGACATGTCTGTTCTGCTTTAGTCAAGTCCTCCTCAGACATCTCCACAGTTTGACTGGTAAAGTCATCTCATGGCTTTAAATACACTTGGCTTGTAACACAGATTGAGTGTTGCTCAGCAGTGCTTTATGCTGTCTTGAAAACAGACTGTTCTCCAGAGCTGGAGTGTTAGTGGGAAGGAAAGGAGGTGAACTGCTGGACACCAAATTACAGAAAATTATTGCCTTCTGATAGTTAATCTGTGATGTGCAGCAGAAAAAAGTAATCTCAGGGTGCTGTTCAGCGTAGCCCTGTAGACCCGTAACAGAGACTGTCTCAGCCACCTTCTGGCAGTGCTGCAGAAGGTGCACCTGCACCGTGCACAGCACAAGTGTTGGGATCCAGGGGATGGCTGTGCAGCCCAGCCCAGGCTGGCACAGTGTTCTTCAAGATCAGTTGAAGTTTGGAGAAGTGCCCCTTCTTGTTGCTGTGAAAGCTACAATTCTTTGTGCCCTGACTCCACATACACAGTTTTATCTTTAGTCTCCATCTATAGAACTGTTGTGTGCTTAGGAGATATAAAAAAGACCCAAGTTGCTGCTGAGAACCTCCTTTCAGAACAGGAGTGGCTTGAAAGACTGGCCCTCCAAATAGGGGCAGATACAGCAAGGTCAGCATTAGTGTGTCAGAGTGAAGGGGAAACCATTCTAAAGGGTGGAATGAGCAGAAGCCCTGAATCCTCCCCACCTGCAAAGCTGCCTTTGACAGACTTTCTAGAGAGGGAGAAATCCTAGTGGGAAAAGACAACTGAAAGTACTGAGGTGTGGATTGGGCATAGTCTTAAGAATAACTCCTGTATTCACATGAAGGAATGTTACTGTCCCAGAAGGGCTTTGACAGTAAAGATAATGAAATCTAAAATCATCAAACTTCAAATATGTATCTTAAAATGAGCTTGTGCTTATTGCTTCCCAACTCCTGCTAGAAACTTGGCAGGATGCTTATGTGGCTCACCTAGAAAGGAAACAGGCATGTCCATGCTAAAAATGCAGATATGACTTTTCTCTTGGGAGAGAAGTTTTTCAAGCCCTAAGAAATGCATTTGAGTAATTCTCGTACTGTCCATTACAGGATGCTGATCAAACATCAAAACTGGTCTATAATGCTGCTTAGGATAATATTTTCTAGTTTAAAATATCAGTGGAAAATTAATCAGAGTTCTGTTTGCAACTAAAGTTCTTCACCAAGACTGTTGCTTGAGTGGGAAGGAGGAAGGGGCTTGAACCGATTTAAGGGATAAAGTCTCTGCTTTTTGTCATGCAAGTGGTGCTAAAGTAACTCCTGACCTGAGTGCTCCTGAGATGGATCTTCCAGCCTAGTTTTGAAGAGGAACCCAGTCCCCTCCTTGGAGATCTCTCAGCAATACCATCAAACCTGGTAAGTGACATACATTGAGAGACTTGCTTCCCAAGGATGCTTTTGATCCAGCTCCCGGAGCTAGCTGTGCCTCAAGGCTTTCAGATTATTATTATGCAGAGCCTGGTTCTGTGTGAAATTGTTGACCTTTTGATTAGTTACACGGATTTTAAGAATAATTACTTTCAATAAGCTGGCATGACAAGGAGTAGCGAAGCATAGGAAACATTCAATATCCCCCAAGCATTTAAAAATAACTTGAGTAGATGTTGTCCCTCCCTATCCTCATAAATCTAAGTCTGGTGTTTGTTTTCAGTTGACATTTTTAAAGTTATTCTAGAGGGCTAGAGAATATATTTTTTTTCCTCTGGTGGTTTGGTTTTTGTTTTTTTTCTGACGTGGGGCAGTTGTTAGCAAAAGCTGAGATTTCACACAGCCATATGTCCTAGGCTG